ATTTCAATAGATGATTGGAGAGAGGCCTGTAGAGATGCTCAGATGCAAACTATTAATACAAGATTGAAACTGCTACAATATAATTGGCTAATGCGAGCGTATGTAACTCCAGTATTATTAAACAAATTTAATGAAAATATCATAGACATATGTCCTAAATGTAATTTATTTAAAGGTACTTTCTTTCATTGTGTATGGGAGTGTGAAGAGATCTTGAAATTCTGGAAGGGAGTGCAAACTTTGATAAGTAAAATAATTAATGTTACTATTCCCCTTGAACCAAAATTTTTTATATTAAATGTATATCCTAATAACCTTAAATTGAGAAGAAGAGAACATATTTTTGTTTATATGTGTACTCTACAAGCTAAACGTCTCATAGCTCTTCACTGGAAAAATGTAGAGGCACCAAGTATAGGGAGATGGTTAAAGGAGTTGGCAACAAACATGTCATTGGAGAAAATAACATATATTATTAAGAGTAGATATAAGGCTTTTGAAGGATGCTTGGAAACCCTTTATGATTTTCTTGGAAGGAGAAAATAATGGAGATGTATTTGATGGGATATTTGAAGACATAAAAAAAGAAATGTTGAAGTTGTCTTGTACTAGGAGGCCTTAAACTTTATTTTATTTTGTATATGTTTGTGTGTGTATATACAGTATATATATATATTTTTTTTTTCTTTTCTTTTATCCTTTGTTACCCTGGCTTTGTATTGTTTTGCATATGTCGTTTAAAGCAGAATAAAAAATTTAAATGTTCACAAAAAAAAAAAAATGTCAGTTCAGTTTGTTCATTTTTATTTCTTTTTTGCTTAACACAATGTAATAAAAGACATGCAAATGTAAATAATTTAATGTAACAAACATAGAAATGTCTGGTACAGGGAGGATTCAGACTGAAATAAGTGAGCCAGAAAAACAGATTACTGGTGCTTTATATCTTTATTTATTTTAAATAAAGAGTGTGAAGGCCCCATGAATGGTGTCAAATGCATTTAATCGGACTGCATCCAAAACTCATGGACTGTTCCACAGAGATTAGACATAGTGTTCATTTACTGTGCATTGATGCAGTTAATCGGCTTTTAATAACACTGCACTTCCACTCTTTCTTATGCATGTCTTGAATTTTCTGACATGCCTGTGGGATACACTACATGAAGAGGTTTTATATTTAGTATTTGCTTTGTGCACTGTGTTGGTATTCTCTAAAAATATAATCTGAATGAAAAATGTTTAGGTGATTACCAAATTTGATATGTCTAGAAATCAGTTTTTTAGGTACTTACAAGTAAGGAGTTTTATTTTGTAATTTCATAAATGTTTTATTAATATACCCCCTTTATCCATTTTGGAAAAGGAAATTACCAAAAATTGTAATAGTAAAGGTTTGATTTCACTTTTATATAACATGTTTGTAGAAGGATCTCAGGAGTCTGCAAACTCTCGTTTAGAGGCATGGAGGATGGACCTTAATGAGGAAATTTCAATAGATGATTGGAGAGAGGCCTGTAGAGATGCTCAGATGCAAACTATTAATACAAGATTGAAACTGCTACAATATAATTGGCTAATGTGAGTCTATGTAACTCCAGTATTATTAAATACATTTTATGAAAATATCACAGACATATATCCTAAATGTAATTTATTTAAAGGTACTTTCTTTCATTGTGTATGGGAGTGTGAAGAGATCTTGAAATTCTGGAAGGGAGTGCAAACTTTGATAAGTAAAATAATTAATGTTACTATTCCCCTTGAACCAAAATTTTTTATATTAAATGTATATCCTAATAACCTTAAATTGAGAAGAAGAGAACATATTTTTGTTTATATGTGTACTCTACAAGCTAAACGTCTCATAGCTCTTCACTGGAAAAATGTAGAGGCACCAAGTATAGGGAGATGGTTAAAGGAGTTGGCAACAAACATGTCATTGGAGAAAATAACATATATTATTAAGAGTAGATATAAGGCTTTTGAAGGATGCTTGGAAACCCTTTATGATTTTCTTGGAAGGAGAAAATAATGGAGATGTATTTGATGGGATATTTGAAGACATAAAAAAAGAAATGTTGAAGTTGTCTGGTACTAGGAGGCCTTAAACTTTATTTTATTTTGTATATGTTTGTGTGTGTATATACAGTATATATATATATATGTATAAACTAGAACTGTGTAATTGGTATGTGCATATGTATACTGTGTATATATATACATATATACATATTTTTATTTATTTACTTTTTTTGGTTGATTATTTGTTTGTGAATGTATTTAAGTGTTTGTTATAAGTTTGTGTTAACATAGCAAAAAAAAAAAAAAAAAAAAAAATATATATATATATATATATATAAAAATTTACTGTACTTATCAATATAATAAAAACAGGCAAATATCATCAGAAGAAATAAGTATTCAAAATTTAGCTCACAATCTGCAAAGGAGTGTAAATTAGGATTATGCATGAAATAATGTCTTCAGAATCATTCATAAATGTGAAAAACGACTGAGAATTGATCAAATAGTTGTAACCTGGCTCAGATGAAGATAAGAATCATGTCTTTGTGATGTTTTTTCTGATGATTTCTGATTCTTTTTGATACTGATTTTTTTCTGATTTGTGATTATGGGATAATATAATACTAATATAAGACATCTTCACCTCACAAATGGTTATCGGAAGTAAAAATAGTATGAAATGCACATCATATCTTGTGAGAAAGTGTGCTAGAGCAAAACAGGTACTATTTTTGAAATCAGCACTCCTAAATGAGTACAAAAACAAGTATTTCATTCAGTCAGTATAATGTAGGGTGCTGTAATGTATAACACATTCCTACATTAAATTGAACATTTTCCCCCTGGATCTTTCTACTCAGATATTTCAGGAGATTGGAGCTGTTCAAAGTCTAAAGAGGATCGTCATGTACTCCAGTAACGCCACCGTCTGCTCTCTGGCTAAGCGGGCCTTAACAATGATGAGCGAGGACGTCCCGAGGCGTATCCTTTCATCTGTACCCAACTGGAAGAGCGGAGAGGTACAGACCTGGCTGCAGCAGATTGGCTTCAGTGCATTCAGTGAACGGTTTCAGGTTTGTACACAGCTCCCATTTCCTGTTTAGCTGACCTTAGATAAAGGTGGCGGATATGATGATATCTTGAAGATGTTTGCTGCAGGTTTTGATCAGGGTTTTCTGTACCATATATCTTTCAGGAACTGCAGGTGGATGGAGATCTCCTGCTCAATATCAAAGAACAGGATCTGATCCAGGATCTGAGCATGACTTCTGGGCTCACTCGCAAGAGGCTAGTGCTATTTTATTATGCAATATTATTATTAAATATAGAATTCTTACAGAAATGTATGTATTCAGTCTTACTTTCAGCTCTACAGTGGGTTCCAAATGTCTGAGATCACATTGGAAAACTGAGATTTAGGAAAACCTGTTATGTTTTTAGATTTTGATAAATAAAAAATATATTTTTTTTAAGACATTTACAATAAATGTTATGATGTAAATTTAAAATAAGCAAAATAGAAGCATTTTTATTGTATTATCATAATAACCAATAGCAGTTCTCTGATTACTTCTGTACAGGTTTCTTCGAGATCTGCGTGTACTGAAAACCTATGCCAACTACTCCACATGTGACCCCAATAACCTGGCAGACTGGCTAGCTGATATAGACCCACGATTCCGTCAGTACACCTATGGCTTGGTTCAGTCAGGAGTCGATCGGAACAATATCATCCACATTACAGAACAACAGTTGCTGTCTGACTGCCATGTAGAGAATGGAATCCATCGTGCAAAGATCCTTTCTTCTGCTCGCCGTCCTGCTAAACCCTGCTTAACCGATTCCCAACCCGCGGGCCCTGATGTGTTCATCAGCTACCGTCGCACTACGGGTTCACAGCTTGCCAGGTCAGAACTCAAATGAAATGGCTCTTAAGTGTCTTTACAGTAATGGCACCTATTTAGTTACCCAGGTTCTAGAGTTCACGTATGCAAAATATATCTGTACATATTATTAGATATTTATTTGTGCACATGCACATTTATCCTATTTTTATCTATTTAGATTACATCTGCCACCATGTAACTCTCACTTAAAGTTAATTAATAATTTTAATAACACTGTTCAATGTAATCTTTAATGTTCTCTTGCAGATCTCTAATGGAATATACTTGTTTCCTACTGTTGTGTGAAGAATGGATGTACTATTTTTCATTACGATGTAGTGATTTCTAAATTCTCTTGTAAAATTATTTGAAGTCATTGTTTTCGGTATTTTATTTTTCATGTATTTACACAAAGTAGTATAGAATTTTAATATTGGCCAGTTTTTGTTTGAAATAATAAACCCTACATCTCCTGTTCTTCTCTTTCTCTGCAGCCTACTGAAGGTGCATCTACAATTGCGTGGTTTCAGCGTCTTCATCGACGTGGAGAAACTGGAAGCTGGCAGGTTTGAGGAGAAACTGATCACGAGTGTACAGCGAGCACGCAACTTCATTTTGGTGCTGTCAGCCAACGCGCTGGACAAATGCATGGGCGACGTGGCTATGAAAGACTGGGTTCATAAGGTTAGAGGCAGAAATCCTTCTTTGATCAAACTGTACTCTTATAAATAAAGTAGAAGTGCTGGGCATCCAAAATAAAAGTTTTTGTGTACATAATATATGTGTGTGTACTGTGTATATTTATTAGGTATATATATAAATACACACATGCATGTATATATTTAAGAAAAATATGTTATGTTTATATATTAAATATATTTATATATAATATAAATTATATGAATATAAATATATACATGTAAATATTTTCTGAATATATACTGTATGTGTGTTTTTATATATACATAATAAATATATACAGTACACACATTTATTATATAAACAAAAACTTTTATTTGGGATGTGATTAATCGCGATTAATCATTGCCCAGCACTAAAATAAAGCCATATTAAGGTTCAGGTCGAATGCTGAAACTGGACTGAAAATACACTCCTGAAAGCTTCAGTCAGTATCCCAATTAGAATCTCTATTTGAGAATCCTTAAATCAGCCAAAACGTCCTTCTGCCAACACCTTGAAATATGTAATTAGGTGTATTAACATTGTTTGTCAGCTGTGTGAGGTTAAACATTTTGATTTATGTTATCCACAGGAGATTGTCACCGCCCTGAATGGGAAGAAGAACATTGTTCCTGTCACTGATAACTTTGTGTGGCCTGATCCAGCCTCTCTGCCAGAGGACATGAGCAGCATTCTCAAATTTAATGGCATTAAGTGAGTCAACACTCTGCCTGACTAAACACGTTGGTGCAATCATTCTATGATATACAATATGCTTTCCTCTGCTCAGTAACTTGTAGTTGTTAAAATTGTACACCAGATCAATAAAAGCTTTTAATGTAGGCACGGATCTGAAATAATCTAATTGTAAAAAGAATTAACGTAAATCTCTTCTCAATGTCACAGGTGGTCCCATGAGTATCAAGAAGCCACTATCGAAAAGATTCTGCGCTTCCTCAAGGGATGCCCAAGCAAAGAGCAACCAGATGGAGCAAAAACAGACAAAAAAGAGCCACAAAAGAAATAAAACATACATCTGACCAATAAAAAGCATTTTATTATGCCTAAAAAGTTGGTGTTTCCAATAATGACCACAGTGTAATCAGAACACACCTGCTTACCCCTGAGGCCAGTGTTTCCTTTGGTTGTATGCATGTATGCTGGTCTAGATAGATACATAAGTGTAACCTACCCAAAGATGCAACGGAGTTTACAAGGTGCGGTCACATTAGCAAAGTTTTGGCAATATTTTACAGGGGAATAACAGTCCATCTTGTCAATTGTGTAGCAATATATGAAGCATCACTAACATAAAAGTCACTTTCAAACCAAGTAGCTGTCTGTTGGTCAATGTGGCGAGTTTGTGTGACTTAACCTGAACCCGTTGTGAAATCTGCACGGGGACATTTTTCACCATCACATGATGGATTCCTATATACTGATTTGAGTTTTTTCGCAAAAGTAAATGTGACCGCACTTTAAAGATTATTCTGAGTTATTGACAGCATTTGCGGCTCTAAATAACACTGAATACTTCTTAAATTGTGCATTAGTAATCAAACTGTACTGACTGTGCTCCCAGAATTGTGTTACATTTCTGTAACTCAGGAAGCTGAAACGATTTCTGCATTACGAGTCGTATTTATGACATCAGCATACATCTAAGCATAGTCAATCCATAGTCAGATAGTACTAGATAATATCGCATTATAGAAAGCCTTATGAAATGTTAAACATCAGTTTTTATATTTCCTTTATTCTAGTTCAGTTAGTTAATCCACAAATAGTCCATTCTTTTTTCTAACTACAGGTTTGTGCAGGTTGTTATGTTAAGTAAGTTCTGATATTATGTACAGTGCATCATTCAAAAGGTAAATAACACATTTTTCACAACAGTTCATAAAGCTCAAGATTAATCATTATAGTTATTAATCACTTCATGCAGTATTAGAAACAAACCCTGATAAAACCGTTTCAGGACTCAAAAGACTGGTGTAGAGGCTTTCTTAGGATTTGCGAGAATATTATGCAGCAATTTTAAGTCAATGATACATTTTCAGTCACTGTGAAAATGCATTCGGTCAAGGAAAATATGGATGAACATTTACTAACAGCTCTCAACACCTCAAGCTCTATGCTGCTATTGAGCTCCCTGTTGTTGCCTTATGATATTTATCCGAGTGTTTCAGGTGTAATACAGCGTGTAAAATCTGTACAATTAAATAATTAAATGTTCTTTTATTTCCAGAAATAAACAGCAATAAAGCTTGTTTTGGAAAACATCCCTTTATTTTGCTAGTCCACATTTGTGTTTTTGCTGCAGTGTATGCACATTTTCTTGTATAACACTGCTGAGATAACTGGCTTTGACAAATTTAGACATACACAAAACACAAAGACGTTTTTCACATTTTCACTTGCTGTTAGCATATTGCCAAACCACACAGCTATAATTTAACAGTCTCACATCCACATAATTATCACCTGCTTCACAGATTTGACATATCTAGAACACAACTGACAAGCTTGTTATCAAAAGGAGGAACATTACTGTGATGGGTTAAAGCTGTGATCGTGGGTCCTGAATTTGTAGTGTGGCTGTTATTCATAGATTAATACTCGCAGTTGTTTTAAATGTTTAATTTTCATCAAACAGAATAACAAAAACAGGTTCCTAAACTCGGCCGACCCAAACTCACGCCATTGGTTGAGCTTATGTTGCTGTGTCTAACCGGTCAGGATGCTGAAACAATGTTTTGATCGCACCACAGAGTCACAGTGTTAACACTTTTTGGGGAAATCTATCTACCAGTGGTTTGCTTGCTCTGTAAATGGCTGATGTCCAAAACTGCTGATGCTGGAATCGGATGAGGTTCACAAATTGCAGTCTCTTATGAAGACCAAGACTGCATTAATTTGATCAAAAATACAGTAAAACATTAATATGTATTGTAAAATGCTATTATAAAATAAGTGTTTTCTATTTTAACTTAAAAAATAAATAAAATGGAATTTGTGTAATGGCAAAGCTGCCCTTACTCAATAAAATAATTTCTTTAAAAAAAACAAACAAATAAAAAAACTAAAAACTAAGCCCAGACTAATATTCGTATTGCACATTACTCCCTTTTATGCACTCTATTAGCAGTCAGCTTTAGAATATTTTGGATCTAGCATAACTCTCACAGAGTCAATGTCAGGATATTCCAGAGCCTTCTCTGTTTTCTCTGCTCTCTTTCTTCTCCTGGCAACCCAAGCCCCTGTACACACCAAAGAAAAAAATATTTAGATTAATATATAACCCTTACATAAATAATTCTGTTTAAATCTAAATAATTTTGATATGGTTCATTTAGGTCGGGTGAATCTGTGTAAATTGGGCCACTTTTTGCCATCGAGATAACTGGGGAAAAAATGGGCCAATTATCCTGAATTAACTTTACAACCTAAAAGCATAATTAATGACCAATGAGGGTTTACCCGATAATGCCAGCTGGTATAAAGAGGATGGCGGCCCCAAAGATAAAGGGGAATCCTTTCATGAAGTGTAGGGTGGCAGGGTACAGAGAGTTAAAGACCCCACTAGATACTAGTGAGCACAGGCCTTCCACACACGCCACTGAAGCAAAAAGGGCACCTAGGATGAAGTAAAAGAAAACAAACAAACAAATAAATAAAAAGTTCCATGTCATTCAACAATATTCTTTGTAACGCAAGGCTGTTCTAGTTCACCTTGTTCTGCAGGGTCCACCAGTGTGGACAGTTTCGATCTCAGGACTGGGGTAGAAGCCATAAAAAGGAAGCACAACCCATATCCTGACAAAGACAAGCAGTTTCTGTCATTTCTGCAAGTTCATTTCCTTTATGCACATTTACCTAATGCAGCCATTGGAGGACAATGTTAGGTTGCATCAGCACAGCACATATTTCGAAATGTCTTGAAACAGCATCTTGACCTTTATCCTGTAATGTAGGCCTAAACAGTATCTAAATAGTAGAACATTAACCTAATATCTTAAATGCATACTCTGGAAAAGTGTCAGATAAATGCATTTAATTGAATAGTGTTACTTTTCACGGTTTTCAGACAGTTGGCTGTTTTTTTTTTTGTAATATATAAAATAAATATGTGTAATTAAGATTGTGTTAACCAGTAAATAATCAATTTTAAAACTAGTACAATCAGTATATACTAGCTTAATCAGTTAATAAATATTCTTTTTTTTTTTTTACATTTATAATAGAAGATAAAATTGTATACAGATATTTAACATAAAATATATTATTATAATATACTTATATACAACCGCAAACATATATATCGTATAGGTATGTTTAAAGGTTTTAGGTCAGTATGTTTTTTAATTAAATACTTTTATTCAGCAAAGACCCATGAAGTTAATCAAAAGCGACAATAAAGACTTTTATATTGCTTCAAAAATAATCTATTTCAAATAAACATTGTTCTTTTGAACTCTATATTTAACAAAAATCCTGACAAAACGTATCACAGTTTCTACAAAATTATTCAGCAGCACAAGTGTTTTCAACAATGATAACAGGAAATGTTTCATGAAAAATTTTGAAAAATTTTTCTCAGGCTCCTATGTTTATGTCCAGTTATTTCACTTTAATAGCAAAGAAAAGAACCTATTCATTGCCATTAAAGTGAAATTACTGAACTTGCACATAGGAGCCTGACAACAATTTTTCAACAGAGTTCAGGCTTTTGCATCTGAACTCTTCATATATATATATATATATATATTTATATATTTATGAATAGGAGATCTTACCTGTAAACATCAGAGCTGTAGTGTTAGCAACCGAAAACACAATCAAGCCAACTATATTAGAGGAAAGGCCCACCAAAGCCACCCAGGAGTCCTCCAGACAGCACTGCATGACCCTCAGCCCCATCAGGCTAGTGAGGTAGGCCAGATGCTTGGCCGCAGAGCCATAACCAATCAGTTCTGGACCCCAGCAGAGCGGCGCGCTCAACTCATACAGCACATAGAGGTCACTGCAGCCGAAATGTACAGACACCACCAAAAAGAAGCAGAGAGTGTATAACCAGAGTTTAGTTCTGCGCCCCTGCGGTGCATCAGATGCATAGAGGCGGTAGACGGCCCGGTGGTGCCTGGTGGAGAGGAGCTTTGCCTCTGGGTCAGGGGTGACCGTTTCAGGCACAAAAAGGTATGCGTAAAGGGCCGCTGCAAGATTTGTGGCCAATACCAGCCAGAATGGGTTGATATACCTTTAGGGAAGCAAACAACATTTTTTTTTTTTTTTCATTTTTTAATCTAAGAAATATTAAATTTTTTGTATGAAAAGTTGACAAATACCCTTGTGCCCTTCGCCACTGTCCTCCGATGATGCTCGCAAACATACCAGCCAATCCCAGACAAGCCTCTAGTATCGCCACACGAAAGGTACGAGAACCCCTGGCACTTGTGTCAGCCACATATGCAAAGCAACCGGCCAAAATGGCGTTGAAGTCCCCAGACAGGCCGCTGCAGAGTCTCCCAATGAGGAACCAGAACACAGGCAGCTTCAGGTACATTACAATCAAATACACAGTCGCCTGAACAGCCAGGCCAAGGGAAGGGATGATCAGAACAAGACGCCGACCTGCACGGTCGCTCCATGAGCCCAGCAGGGTCACCATGATCAGCCCAACTACAAATCCACCCAGATTGATGTACAGGTTCCAGTGTGCAGTCAGAGTATCCACTTCCTAGATGAAGGAAACTAATTACATATCAAATCATCTTTTATGACACTTTAGTGGTTAGAGTTCACTTTTCGGAAACATTTATTGTAGTTTTTTTAGTAGGCTACTTGAGATACAGCAGCCTCCTTTTGTGAGAGGGTTTTTCGGCTGAATAGTTTGGTAAAGTGAGTCACATTTTTTTTATTCACTAGGAAAATGAACTGGTTCATGTATCATTTCTTTAAGAATCAGACTTCACTGGTGGTGCAATATGTTTTTGATTTGGGGTAAACTGGTCCATTTTTGTGATTCACTAAAAAAGGACAGACTCGTTGCCATTGGTTCAAGAATGTACTAGACAGGTTGCACAGCATTTTTTGATTTCCTGAATAAAAAAAGTCTCACAAAGTTAATTCATTGGGAATCGGACTTCACTGGTAGCGCGCACTATGTTTTTTTTATTTACTAAAAAGAACTAAATAATTGTTATTCGTTCAGAAATCAAACTACACTGGTCACGCAGTATGAATTTGGTATATAATAGTCCGATTTTGTGATTAAAACATTTTTGGGGTGGAATCGGACCACACAAATGTACTGTGCTGTATGCTTTTATTTTATTTTATTTTATTTTGATTCACTATAAAGAACCGGCTCAAAAGAGTCACTTGTTCGGGAATCGAACTACACTGGTAGCGCTGTATACTTTTGATTCACTGAACAGAGCGGCTCATAAAAGTCACTCGATCGGGAATCAAACAACACTGGTACCGCTATATTTTTAATTGACTGAAGAAAAAGCAGCCCATAAGAGTCATTTATTCGGGAATCGGACTACACGAGGTGGGCTTCATTGTATGTTTTCGAGTCACTAAAAAGAATCAGCTCAGAAGTGTCATTCGTTCAGGAATCGAACTGGCAGCGCTTTTGATTGATTCACTGTGAGAGAAAAAACTTCATAACAATCGCGCTGAACCGGCTGATTTCTGAACAAAACAAAAAAACGGACCTGGGTTGCGAACCCAGATAAACTGTCAAATATCGGTTACCTTCTGCAGAGGATCGTGGACTGTAGATGCATTACATCCTCCTCCCTTTGTTCCATTATTATAACCCACATCTTCACTGATACGATCCCACAGGTACTGCGTGTACAGAGGCATCTGGAGAGCCATGGAGAACGTGGACAGGAACATAACGGGCTCCACGGTCACGGAAAACGGACATGAACACGGCGGTGGACGTTTGTTTTGTGGCACCCTAAAACAACAACAGACTTTGCTGGAGTCACTCGACTCCAGGTCCTCCGCAAGAATAGCGCCGGTGTCTGAATCATCCATGATTTAAAGTGTTAGAGTCCCAACGCCTAAATCACACGAACGACGACAAAACAGTGTTAACATAACTAATATGAACAAACAGTAGCTGCAAACTGCTGACAGTGACTTACGGAACGGAAGCCGCTGTGTTTTCATACAGTTCGCTGTGCTGCTGTCGCCACCTTTTGCTACTCGTAGGAAACTGATGTTATTGTAAGTACAACAGATTATATATATCCTTAGACTAA